TAAATAAAAAACAAATACATAAATAGTTAAATATCCAAAAAGGGGCCACTGTAATTTGAAGTAATCCATTTTTTTGTGAGGATGAGTTTATCTAGGTATAAAGAAAAGAGTACCGCCGATGAAATCGTTGTCATATTCTATATCTCAGTGCACATAATATTACATCGTGTCTTGTATAAGTTATTTGAACATAATTATAATCAATAATTATTTAAATAATTAAATATATTAAATACTTTTATTTTAAATAATAATTAAACAAAAGTGGAAACTTGATCTGTATGAATGATTAAAAAATTATAAAAATAATTAAAATAGCAAATTCGGATGATGAGATAAGATAGACAAGAATCGCGTTTCTCGAGGTTGAAAATCTCAGAAAATATATCCGGAATAACAGGAGCGCAAGAGAGCGAGGAGGTAATGCGAAGAATCGTGTTTCTCGGGGTCGAAAATCTGGGAAAATAAATCCGGAATAACAGGAGCATAAGATAGTAAGGAGGAAAGACGAAGAAATCGGGTTTGACGGCACCCCGAAAATCACGAGAAATAAATCCGGAGTAACAGGAGCGCAGAAGAGCGAGGAGGTAATGCGAAGAATCGTGTTTCTCGGCGTCCAGAATCTGGGAAAATAAATCCGGAGTAACAGGAGCGCAAGATAGAGAGGAGATACAGCGAAGAATCGGGTTTCTCGTCGTCGAAAATCTCTGAAAATAAATCCGGGCTAATAGGAGCGCATATTAGCAAAGAGGTAAGATGACTTCCAACAACTTCTTTACTTATCCTGCTTTGCTAATACTTCAGGCGATTTTTCTAAGATTTTCGATGCCGAGAAGCGTGATTTCTTGTCTATCTTACCATCCAAATTTATCAATTTTATCGATTTACAGTATTTCTATCATTTTTTTAATTTTATACTGATGCGTCAAATTCCTACTTTTGTTTAATTATTAATTAATAAGTAAAAAATATTCAATTATTTAGTTAATAACATATTTTTTAATTAGATTTAATACAAATAATTAATTTCAAATAATTAATACACAATCGTGAGGAGACGAATAGTTCAATACGAAAATCAAGTATTCCATTGTTTAATTATGAATTATTACATAATTCAGGAAAAATATTAGTTTATAATGTTTATATACATATAATTATATACATATACATATATGTATACATATACTTATGTATTAAAAATTTTTCACTGGATCATAAGAAATGTACATAGATATAATCAATTATTTAATTTTTTGTTTGTATAATAATTTTGTATGTAGCGTTTTTTCACACATAGCTTTTCATATACCTTTTATATAGGTATATATAATTGTATACATAAAAAGTAAGACTATTTTAATATTTGTACAATATAAATATAGTTGGAACGTTGCAATGTTGTTTTAATACTGCTGGAATGAAAACTGTTGACTAGATATGTATCATCCATTAAAATTCATGGTTCGTGGATCATCGAAGTAACAGTTCTGTACGATTACAGGCAATGCTAAATGGGATAAAGGATGGATGATCATTTGTGGGATCATCACGAAATTAATTCCTGAAGGCAAAGGGAAACATTTTTTTAATCTTAATTTTGTCGTATGTTATATTTCGAAATATGGTGCTAATTAATAATACTGATTTTAGCAATAAATTTTATAGCTTTTAATTTTCTCATCAGTTTAGAGACATAATTTGTATATACATATAATTGTATATACAAATTGTATACTATGAATTATAATGTGTCAGTGTGTTCAGATGTAAAACTTGCATTATTAATTTCCAAAATATTAAAACTTATAATATCAACTTATTACCTTTTTCGCCTGATTAGATTAAATAACTTATATGACTTTTTGTTTAACATTGGCAAACAAGGAAGTAATGATTTATTGTGTTACACTGTATCTTTTGTTAGAAAGCAGCCAAGGTTCGTCGAATTTTCTTTCCTTTTAGAAGTCATAGTATGCATTCAACAACTCTCTCCTATATACCCTAACGTTTATCTATATGTATATGTATAATTATATTGTTATATGTATATAAAAAATTTTCTTCCGAACAATTTTCTGAGCTACTTTTCAAACATAATTTTAAAATATATCTCTGAAATATATTTTTAAGACATAGAATGGTACATAATATTTATTTTTACTTCATATAGTACAATTTATACCAAAAAAAATCAATTTGAATTTTCTGAATCAAAATAAACGTTGATATTTGATATTTATTCAATATTATTTCTAATTCAAGAAGTTATTGTATAGGGTTACAAAAAAGCCCGATTAAAAAAGTCCGCGATTGAAATCTTATTTTTAATATGTTTGAAATAGTAATTTTTTAAAGAAGAAATTCCACATCCCTGCTCCCTTTGTCGATATCATTAATTTTTTTTCAGCATCTGAATGATTGGATAAGTATCATCAGTTTATTCTGTAGTTTGTTTCTATGCATAACATTGTGATGAATTGGCAGCGAACTGTTACAGAGATGCCAGATAAAAGACGCGACAGCTCTAAACTGATTAAAGATAGGTAAAGGGAATATGCATGCAATGAAGAGGCATGTGCTCAGAGCGGCCTATGTATACGTGCCATTTGGTTCGTAATTCGTCTACCTATCTTTCAGAATTAAGAAAATTTAATAAATTTGTCGCAAAAACTAATCGCAAAAAAACATAAAAAATGCAAGTAGTTCATGTGATATATGTATATCTAAAGTGTATTAAGCAAGATACAAAATAAATAACATGAGAACAGAAAAATTCGGAAGATTAAAAGTAAGAAAAGTGAAGCCTCTATCCCCCCGCAGAGATTATCGCAGGATCTTCGATCCAAAATCAACGTATGGTACTGTGACCCTTCGGTGACCCTTTTATTGGGTCGGAAAACCAAGCTGGGGGATAAGAAGATCAAATTGACGGGAGCTGAACTGTTGATAGCAGCTATTTCAAGAGAGTATAAACGCATTAACTGCAAGGAACCGAAATATATTCATATTTTGCAAACAAAATTGGTAAATTTCTTATACGTAGTAATGTGTCAATGACACGTAAATCGTCTGTGTGTAAGTACTATTTTCAATATGACTAATCGTCTTTAGGAGATCCCCATAAGAGATGTTCTTAAGACGTAGGACATCTTCTATCTTTGAAGATCTATGCTGGCAAACATATAGAAAACAGAACCATCGATTATAATTGGCGGGGATGATGGAGAGCCCTCTATAGATTGATCGGTTTTTGCTTACATAAAAATCTACTTTCTTACTTTAAACAGAATATATACTATTAGTGTGTTAGTTTCTGTGACAAAAACGAGATATTTGTATTTAAAAAACATTATTATTTCTATACCACATAATTAATAAACAATAGCCAAATAAATCGGATATTATGTTACAATTAAATAAATAATAAAAAAATTTAATTATACATCCGTAGAAATGTATGAAAATTGTTAAAAGTACATATTCGAACGGAAAGGTTAGGCGAGAGAGTCGAGTTTCTCCGTTTCTTGGCGTCAGAAACTCTGTATAAATCGGCAGAATTATTAGGAGCGCAGGAAGTTATCAGAGGTATTCTGAGCGACGGCGTCTCCCCACTTTGCCGCCGCGTAGCATCGCGGTCATTGGTCAATGGGCGGGAGCTTCTTGCCACCTGGGAGGGTGAACCTGCTAGCGCTCTCATTGGTTTACGCTTGGAAGCTATCCTATGTAAGGTGGGGCATTGTAAGTGGAGTTCCGCTGCTACGGCGACCTCCTCGCTCGACATGCTTTCCTAGTATCGGCGCGATTTTCGAACTTCTAACGAAACGCGCTCGTCAGTTCACATTGCCACCTACTTCCTCTTCGTCTAATATACTTTTCTAGTTACTTTACTTGTTTTCTTGTCATTATTGAGGCTCATTTCGTTCGTCGAAATAAAATCTTACAATCAACTATAACTTTTTAATAAATTTTTGGACGCATATTTCAATTGTTGCGTTATATCTATTGTCTAAACGTATCTATATTTCAATATTGTAATTAGATTTTAATTATATTTTTTAATAACTGTTGCGCATATTAGAACAACAACGAGATAGCTGTTTTATTTTCTGTAATGCATTTGTCTCTGTCAAAAACTATTACTCCTCGAAAAAAACTAATATATCAAATAAAAAATTAAAACCCAGATGCTACAGTCTTAACTAATCAACTCTCCTACTCTTCTCTAATTGAACCGAATAGGTAAATAGTGCAATGTCGCAAATGCGATAACGATCGCTTGCTATATCTTTTTCTGAAGTAATATGCATGAAAGTATATTTTCGAGAAACCTTATTATATAACCTAATTATGATTGTAGCCTCAATAAAAGTCTCTCAAATTGATGTTATTATAACTTATAAATAACTCATGGTATCCCAGACAACACAAAGTTTAAAATTGTGACACAAGTCATCTTTTAGACGCAAAAAACATCTTGGCCCGAATTTAGACACTTTTTAATATCTGGAATATTACGCGTAAATAATAATTGAATATAATACGATGTTTTACCTATCTGAGGTCATAAAGAACAAAAAATCATGTTCAGAACAGATTTTGAATGTTGACCGTCACAATATTCGGAACGGTTGTAGTGATTTTACATCGCTAAATATGAATAATTTGCGGATCTTTTATCTCTCGACTTTGATTGATTTTTTATGTTTATGTCTTTCATGGCTCTATATGTAGATTTTTATCTGTTATTCTTATGTTGTTAGTTTTTCTTTTACTCTTGATGTATTGAAAATTTTTTTTAGTGTCATTATTGAATTATAATTTAAATTTAATCATTTTCGTAATATATTATATATTTAAAAGACATTATAAAGGAGTGGAATTCTAAACGAGACTTAATGATAAATTCCAAACATACCATAAAAGATGCATAAAATATGACGTAAAAGATAAACTTTTTTTTATATAATTTATTTATATTAATGCACGGAATACAATTCTTAATAGAGCCAATCCATAATCTTTTGAACTTTTGCTAAGTCCATTTCAAAAATGCGGAAGTTTATTTCATCTAGACGTATTGTACCAAGAAGAAAACGGTCAAATCTACTTGCGAGACTCATTAGCTTACCCCAATAATTTAAAACTATTATCGCACTTAAAAGTTGAAATCTTCCATCTTGTGCGAGGACCACCTTAAAATTAACATTTAATTTACAGCAATAAAATCGTACTATTAACTACTAAATTAAATAATCGTTAATAGAATTTGAAACAGTTTACTATTAATGAATATGTAAAGAATAATTGCATTCGAATATCTTACCGTATTATTATCAGATTCCTTGTAAACCTTTGTACCTACAAAAGACATTTCACGACAAGGAATATAAAATATCGAATGTCCCATTGATGTAAGATCTACTGTTTGACTTGATAATTTAATTACAAGTTTAGTTTGTTTATTAGCCTTTTCTTTATTTGGACATTCTAATAGCGTTTTTATACTTATCTTATATATTTCTTTTCCCGAGAAAATAGTATAATAAAAATCTAAAATAATTATAAAAGGAAATATGAAAAAATCATAGAAATATTATACCTAAATAATACCATTGATTATTATTATTTGCAAGAAAATTTTCTATACTTTCTGAATTATTATTATATAATAAGCAAAGAAACAAAAATATTAAAACATGAAAGAAAAAAGTTATAAATGAGAATGTAATGTTAGTTATTTAAAATTAAAGTTAAAATTCTTAGTAATGTCATGTATAGCATATTAAAAATTACAGAAATTACAATTGAAATAATATATCTATTGTATTAAAAAGCGAATACTTGCCATCATCAACGACTGTCATACCCAAGATACCGTACTCCATCGTAAAATTTTTGCTTGCTACAGAGAAGGAAACATCAGTCGGTTTCATATAATCAGATTCGACTCTGCATATACGCTTCTTAGACGAGTCGTACACTACTAAACCGCAACCTCCCGCGTCAGCCATAAACACCTGTGTATTTACGTGTGCATTAAATTATTTAAGTCACAGAATGTAAATACAATATGACGAGTTTTTTGTATTACTACGATTAAAATGAAACGTATTATTAAAAAATGACTAACAATCATTTCATCCAAAAATTCTGTGCATTCTTTGGGAAAATAAACAAGAGGCTGTGCCAATAATCCTGAACCTGTTCGGTTAATAGCCATATCAAGTGGGATGTAAATAGTTTTCACTAATGTATCATCTTCTAAATTGAAGATCAATAGTTTTGGATTACAAACTTGATCAGTCAAGATTATGCCGGTATCCAGAACGAAAATATAATTGCACTGAATCTGAAGTATAAGTAAAAATTGTATTTCATACATTTGTTATTAAGCAGACTGTTATATGTGCATATACATCCCCTATGAAGAAAATATGATTGGGAACCAACTATTAATATTCATAATCAGTCATAACTATTGATTGACAAATAATAACTATTGAATTACTAATAATAATAATTGGATTCTCAATGGAAGCTATTGATGATTAAAAGTATGATTGAGTGAATCAATGGTTATTATTATAACTCAATAGTTACGATTGACGAAAAAATGTAAGCATTGGGTTTTGCATAGAAATGATTGAGAAGACTAATTTATTTTACGATTTGAACTTATAAGATCAAATAATTGCTACTTGTCAATCAAGAGTTATGATTGAGTGTCAATAATTATCAATCATATTTTAGCAAACCGAAAATAGTTACTACTTTAGGAATTGTGTTATATGTACGGACTAAAGAATAAAAAATATGAAAATAGTTTTGTTCCATTAAATTCACGTTTATTTTCATAACTGACAATTACAGCGTTATCTTTTGTAATAAGTGTCTTCGTTGCGGATCGGCTGTCTTTTTTGCTTGTTCATTTTAACATCAATTAGTAATAACTAATTAATACCAATGGTATTAATTAATTATTACTAATTAATTACTATTCATCAAATTACAATTGACCAATATTTTGTTACTATTAATAGGATCCTAATCATAGTTTTTTTTCATAAGGGACAGATATGCGTAATACATAATAAACCACTAGTTACTTAAATATGTGACGTATAAATAATATAAGATATGATAACCTTTTAAAGGAAAGATATCAATATACATACGTGCACTCGGAAAACATTTACGATACCATCGCACATACAACTGCTATTATGCCAACTCCAATCTGGATACGGACGCAAGAGCGGACCTCCTAGTCCTATCGTATTAGTTACTGTTGCTAAAGTAGCAGGCATATTAGAGCCAAAAAATATCGGCATAGTAATGAATATTCTACCATCTATAAGAATTTTGTTAGTTAGCCTACGTGCTTTACTAAGGGATACATTATTTCACGAATTCTTTATAGCAATAGTGATAAATATTGCACTGCGATAACACCAAAGTTCATGCATACTTGGTGGCATGTGTAATAAAATATACCGATTATATATAGTAAGATTACATAGTAATTAAATATTAAAACCGTAGGTAAAGTTTCTATATACTATAAAAAAAGTGATTATATTTTTGTATAAAATTATTACAACTTTTTCAAATTTCTGTCATCAACCTACCATTTGCTTTAGTCGTATCGAAGAGGTTGCATGTGTATGGATTAAAAGCGCCTGAATTTATAGCATCTTCCTTCTGCTTCTGACTGTCCCATTCATACTCACAATATTTCCATTCATGCACAACATTCACTTCTATTCCAAAACTCACAATTGCCATCGACAGAATTAGTATAATAAATAAAGAATGCCCCATCTTTACTGTCGCTTACAGAAAATAATGCTGTGAAAGCAATTTGGTTTAAATTGTTACAACAAATTACACTTGCATTTGAGAAATGCAATGACTTACGCTATTTTTTGAAGATTCGTGCGTCTTTTAATAATTAAATCTATTTTTTGGATTGCTACAATAAAATAATTTAACTGTCCTATACCAGTAGACACGTCGCAAATGCGAGTATAATAACGATTGCTTTTCACTTATACCTTTTTTTGTCGAATACATATAAAAATGCTTTGAAAGAACGTTATTATATAACGTATAATCTTAATTGTAGTTGCATTAAAAGTCTTAGACTAGATCTAATTAGAACACTTATACACATATACAATACATATAGATGATTTATGACATTTAGGTACTTGCAATAATTATAAATAATGCATGTTATCTTATCAATAACTGTTCTTCTTCGATGGCACTACAGCTCATATCGAGTCAGGGTCTCTCTTATCGCAGTTCCATATTTCGTTGCTTAAGTCATAGCTTGTTTATCCATCCAATCCGAGGCTTATTCTGTGGTTCCTGAACAACAGTTTTTTTACACGTATAGGAAGTTAGCCTGTAGCGCAACCCTTGTTTGCAGACGAAGTGAAAGTGGGTAGGAGAGATGTGAGACTTCATTTTCGTGAGTCTGTCATCCGGTATACATCACTACCCACCAGGTTGATGATCAGACCGACGCCATCAATAATTGTTACCAACAAAAAAATAATAAATTTGTTGTCTTTGAAGGTGTATATAGTACGATGAGAAAAAGATGTAACTTTTTATTGCTTTTCTTTATTAATGACCGGGTTAAACGATATATGTATATGAATACAGTGCTTGTTGTAAAACTTTTGACTTTCCGCGACCAATTAATCTTTCTGATTATAAGTACTCACACAGCACAAGACGTCCATAGGACGTCCGAATGAGATCCATTTTATGTCGATACGTCCATGGACATGTTACAAACGTCCTATGGATATCCTTTTAGGATATTTTCTCTCTCTATATATATATATATATATATAGAGAGAGAAGTATCGGAGTTTATAACAAAAATAGAATAGATCTATATTGTACAAAATATTTAATTAAATTGGCATGTTAATTTACATACGTTGGAAACGGATATACTAATGTAAAATAGATATGATTTAGATCCATTGAAAATTCTGTGACCCTACACTTTACATCCTGGGGATGTCCTTAGGCTGTTCAATTCAAGGGACATACAGACGTCCTCTGGATGTCCTAAGGACTTCCCCTGGAGGTCTGTGCTGTATGGACATCGATAGATAGCGGCGCTGATCTTCGCACGCGTAAGCATTGGAAAATATTGATTTATTGTATATAGTACAATATTCGATTAAATATGTGTCAATATAAAAATAATACATATGTTAGAGGACAGATGTATTAACGTAAAACGGATGTAATTGGATCCATTAAATATTCTAAGATAGACGTCTGTCGGACGTTCCAAATAAGACATACAATGGACGTCCATAATTTATCTTGAAGTCGGATGTAAAACGGATATATTTGGACGTCCAATAACTGTCCTTTTCTGGACATCCTATGGACATCCCTAAAAGGATGTCCATAGGACGTTTGTAACATGTCCATGGACGTATTGACATAAAATGGATCTCATTTGGACGTCCTATGGATGTCTTGTGCTGTGTGGGCAGTTGTGAGAATAATTTCCCCTTCCGACCAACCATCTATAAATGTATAAGTATATTATCGAAGTGGATTTCGCTCACTGAATTCTTGTGTACTTATTTTGTGTATTCGTTATATATTGACGTGCGATTGGGATCGAACAGGAGTTATCACTTTCCAATGAGACGTTTATGAGTGAAATTGTTTCTTTAAAGATTTTTGTATTGTAATCTGATTAGCTTTTATTAGTACGGACACACTTCACATCCATTTTCAACTTTACGATTTTATCGACAGTTTCGTTTCAAAATAGACGGGATACCTAAGGCCTGTTTTTTTTGGCTGAACTTTTGCACCAGTTCATCTTTATTTCTCTTCTTTTTTTCTGGAGAGAAAAGGGAAAAAGATGAACTAGTGCAAAAGTTTAGCCAAAAAGAACAGACCTCTAGTTCTCATATTGCAATGGACATTGATATAAGCGTAAGGGCTCTCACACATGAAATGCATAACAGAGCATAAGCATAACATAAGGCCGCTAAACCAATGAGCATCTTATTTAAATCAATATGGCGACATTATGCTAGATGCTCATTGGTCCAGCAGTCTTATGTTATGCTTATGCTCTGTTATGCATTTCATGTGCGATAGCCTTAAGGGCCCAGACACAAGCTTTTGCATAACGCATAATACATAGTACATAATGGAATCAACCAATCGAAATTCTTCTTTTCCTTGGAATGAGAGGAAAGGAAAGCTTCTGATTAGTTGATTCGCTTATGCACTATGCGTTATGCATTAGTCCGGATCTACAATAGGGTTTTAAGCCTTAAGCCATAAGAAATGGGCGAATCACAGTCGCTTATTCTTCTCGGATTCGACTGTAATTGGTCAATTTCTTATGGCTTAAGGCTTAAAACACCTATTGTAGATCCGGACTTATGCAAAAGTCTGTTCTGCGGTCTTAAGAATACGTCACTGGGTGTATTCAGTACTACAACCGCTTACCCCAGATCTACAATAGGTGTTTTAAGCCTTAAGCCGTAAGAAATTGACCAATTACAGTCAAATCCGAGAAGAATAAACGACTATGATTCGCCCATTTCTTATGGCTTAAGGCTTAAAACTCTATTGTAGATCCGGACTTACTAAGCGCTCAGTGAGCTCTTGCATCTGATTAACATATTCCGTTAGATCTAAAAATATAGACCAAACAGATATACGAGAGCTCACTGAGCGCTCAGTGAGCAGTTATAGTACTAAATGCACTCACTATGACAGTGTCCGTATTCATATAGCGTTTTCGACCCGATCGGGTTTGCATCAACCTTGGTTGGATTAATCTTTCCTATTGGTTGACGTCACTCGCTCTACCAATAGGAGAGCACAAAACGCCATTAATTTAACCTAGGTTGGTGCAAACCTGGCCGGGCCGAAAACGCTAATAGTTAGGTCTCGTATTTAATAGGCCTTCTACAATAAGCCGCAAGTTAGAACGTCAGAAGTCTTATGCCCATTTCCACCAATATAGATTAACTTTAATCTCGGTTCAACTTACTCTTCGTCTTTTTCTAATCTTTAGAACTAGAAAAAGAAAGGTCTCGTATTTAATAGGCCTTCTACAATAAACCGCAAGTTAGAACGTCAGAAGTCCTAACCAGTCTTAACCAAGTCGTTCAAGTTGGCTATTGGCCAACTTCACCGATTATGACTTAAGATCGCTTAGAACTTCTGCGGCTTATTGTAGAAGGTCTATAAGGCCTGAATCAGACTACGCATTGAAGAATGAGATTGAAGATTGAAAGATTGAAGTTTGACCAATCAGAACAAAAGGAACCAAAATTTCTTTGTCCTCATTGGTGAAGTTTCAATCTTTAATCTTTAATCTCAATCTTCAATGCATAGTCTGATTCCGGCCTAAGGCTTCCTTAAATTTATCTTCAGATGTTCTACGAATTATTTCATTGGCTACTGTGCATCTAAAGATAAATTTAAGGAAGCCTTAAATATAAGGTCTGACTATAAATACGAACATAGATCGATGCATTCAAAAGCACAATCGCTCACTGAGCGCTCAGTGAGTTTTTGTATCTATTTGGTCTATATTTTTAGTACTAATGGAATATACCAATCAGATGCAAGAGCTTACTAAGCGCTCAGTGAGTGGTCATGCTTCCGGATGCACCTTTGTAACTTTGAGAATAACTTTCGAACAGACGCTGGCAACACTGGCAATACGGGTATTATTGAACAAACTTCTCCATCATCTCTATGAAGAAACCGTCGGTACAGTCGGTAGTCGGTACAGTATTAAGCCAATCTTCCGGAACTGTCTGTGGTAGGCCTGGAATGCGGTCGATGTTCGTTAAGTGCGGAACGTAAATAAGCAATCGAACGGTCCTCGATTCCGTACGGGTCGGTACAAGATATCCCAGGACAAGCGAAGAATCGCTCGTTTCACCCACCCATGGATACGTCTACGTTATTCCGCGACTGCCGTTAGTACGGGGAACACCGCGCGCGCAGTTCGCCCGATTAACGTGTCGCCGATTTTCTCGTAACAGTGACAGGAGGTACGAGGAAGGAGTAGCACACGCAGGAAGAGAGGAATGGGTATCAGGGGGACAAGAAGAAGACGAGGGCAGGCTCTGTACTCGTGTCCCGCACTCGTCTTCCTCGGCACGTCGTCTTCATCGTCGCTGTCGTCGGACCGTCGTACCGTCGTGCTGCGATCAGGAAGGGAAGAAGCGGCGAACAGGCCGCGCTGCACGTTCCTGTTATGCACGCAAAGCAAGCGCCCAGCGGAGTGTTCATAATTCCACCGCGTTCGTTAGTACCCGTGGTGGAGGAGGAAAGGGAAAGGGCAACCTGGGCTACCTGGGCGACGAGGAGGAGGAGGTGGAGGAGGCATAGGCGTAGGAGAACGTTTGACACTGTGGTAGTGGGAGAGCGCCCGGATGGATTGAGGCGCAGGAGAGGGTAAAAAGCGTGGGCGCGCGATTTTCTATATATGCGCGTTCACCACGAGAGCCCAGACTGCCGAGAGGTGATACCTGTTTAGTTCGATCTGTCGAAGAATACAGGCATCCATCCTGCAAATCAACCAATTACTGCCTCTTTCTCTCTCTCTCTTTCTCTCTCATTCTCTCTCTCGCTTTCTATATCTATCTCTTTTTCTCCCTCCCCCTCTCTCACTCTGCATCTGCCTCTGCCTCTGCAGATCATACGAGATCGTTTGTCGATTTCGTTCAAAAATCGTCACAATGTTCTCGGGCAAGGTGCAGATTGAAATCTGCGAAGCCAGAAGTTTACGAGCGACTGACAAACAGAAGCAATTTTGGAAGGAAAATGAGGAACCCTCGCTGGACCCGTACGTGCAATTGCACGTGGACGAGATTAAATTGGCCCGTACTAGCACCAAGCTGAGGACCTCGGACCCAGTGTGGCATGAAATCTTCACCCACAAAGTACGGAAGGCGACCGAACTAGGTC